TTGGGCGAGGATGACATATGTTGAATCTATCTAATTTTTCGGTCCCTCTTACAATACCAATACTTTTTTATCAACTATACTGCTTGTAGCAGCTAAACTTTTATAGTCAAAGCACAGGAAACATGAATGTAAATATAGCAATCAACAAAAATTTCAGTTACTAATTCAGGGTTTTCCACTGGAGGTAATATCGAAACATCGATAGTTGTAAATAGTATTTTAGCAACATAGTTTGCTTGTACTAGTCCAGAGTTTTTCACTAGAGACACATGGCATATATCACTACAATATATTTGGATGCAAGTTAATAAAATATATGTTACTAGTCCAGGATTTTCTATTGGAGGCAGTATCAATACTGTTCAATACCAACAAACAAGTTCTTATAATGAAATATCTTGCCTGCACTAGTCCAGGGTTTTCTACTGAAAATACATAGCAACTTTTGATACAAGATACAGGTAGCTAGTCGATATTGTTTCCCTCTTTTACTTACCCTTTACAGCAAGAAAACAACTATTTCTGGCAGCTTTATGACTTTCAAAAATCTGTTCTATATTTCTACATATATATATTTTTGCAAGTATTAATATTTGTATAGCAGACATCAACAATGTTTTTATATTTAATTAATACTTACTTATAAGTAAATATGTCAAAAATTCAAACTAAATAAAAAATAAATATATAAAATCAATAAAATTAATAAAATTAATAAATTCGATAAAATTAATAAACTGATAAACATTTCAGATATTAATATAGTTGGATATATAGATTACATGTTATTTATATCTGTATTTTATTGGCAGGAAAATGTCAAGCAGGAAAAAAAAATAGTTGATAAATAAATAGAAAGCAAATAATAAAGTCAAAAATTAATAAATTAAAAAAATTGACAAATTTTATAGGTGCCAATATAGTCAGGTATACCAATTACATATTACTTGTCTCTGTATCTTGTTGATAATAAATAGCAAAAAACAAATAGCAAGTGACAAGCAACAGCAAAAACTGATAACTAGAGTAAAAAACAGATATATAAAATTGTTAAAGTTAATAAAATTAATAAAATCGATAAACGTTATAAGTATCAATATAGCTGGGTATATCGGTTACATGTTGCTTACATCTGTATCTTACCAAAAGCAAGGTGGCAAGCAGCAAAAAAAAATCAACAAAAATTTTTTTAATGTATAGCTTGATTGCGTCCAATCATATTTCTCAATTTTTGTTCAATTGTATACTTAATTTGTATCTATATATGTATTGTAGATCTATAATACAATCGATTTTTAACAATTATGATAATTATAAGGCTAAAGCTGCAGGTTAACAATTATATATCTAACAATTATAGCTTCAATATAAATAATTCTAACATCAATAGCTCTATTTTTATAGCTTTAATGATTCAAAACCTGCAATGCTACAATACATGTATTTATAAATCAAAAACTTTTTATCATAATATTTATTAAATATTAAATATAATTATATTAGATATAATTAAAATTTTTAATTGCTATTTGCTAATGGCTCTTGCCATCATGACTTTAAACATATATATGCTTTTGCTATTTTACCTAACAACTAATTTCTTTTTTCTGTAATTAAATTTTTACATGCTGAAAAAACCTGTTCTACAGATACACTTGTTGTAGGTATTGCCAAATAATCGTATACAATACATGCTAATTGTGGAAATTGCTGTTTATTTATTTTTTACCATTCTAAAACATTTGTTTCTTCTGTTACTCAGGGCAATGAAAAATATAGTTGCAATTCATCTTGTTTTTATATATGCCATTGTTTAAATAATTTTGCTTTAACTATATTATATATTTCTTCTATATTAATTATTGTTATAAGTCTTGGATTTAATTCACCATATTCTTAAAAAACATCATCAATACTGTAAAAATTAAATCATAAAAATTAAATTATAAATAATATAAAATATTCATCCCAAACATTTTCCATAAAATATTGCATCTTAAATCTTGGATCTAAAATAACTGCCAGTGTATAGAATTTATTTGTCTTGTTGTAATATTCTAAAATTTCTTTACAACATGCTTTAGCTGCTTCTTTTATACTTGAATCAATTTTTTTGTCTTTAACATCATTCAAATAGTCAATTAAAACATTATATAGTAGAACTGTTATAAATAATGTTGAATATGTTAATGCTGATACTATTGTAGTTATTTTTTGAAAAAGCTCATGAAATTCTGCTATTTGTTCAAATATATTCCAATTGTCATTTGTAAATATATAATTTTTTAACTCTTAACTTGATATCGTTAGATATTCCATTGTCTAAAAATATAAATTATTTAAAATTCTATTAAACAAATATTAAATAATAATATTTAAACTTACTGTTTTTAGCTGTATAACACATGCAACTATATTATATATCAAATTTCAATGTGTTTCAATATCTAAAATTGGTTTTAAAGTTTCAATTTGCTAAATTTACAAGTATAATTTAATTTTTCTATCCATTGAGGTAATGATTGTATTTTTATTACAAGTTTTTGTAACTATTATAAAAATAAATTAGCAAATATAAAAGGCAATACTTTTGATATAAAACTTACATGTTTTAAATTTTTTCCCAGTATATTAAATGTATCTTGTATATTTAAATTAATAAAATATGCAAAATATCACAAATGGTTTTCTGCTGTATCGAAAGAAATTAATTGGGTTTTACTCCACTCTTCTATTAATTTAGCAAATGCTACATTGTTTGTAGTATTGTCATCATAATTCCTGATATTTTTAAAATTAAATAGTAACATTAGTTATATATAATATTTATTTTAAATACAGTATATCTAATAAATTTCATAAATTTGTTTAAATACAATAAAAATGCTTCTTTAATATTTTTACTTGAATATATATCTCACAGTTATATAAAATCTATTATTATATTTTGTATTTTCTAATTTTTATCAATAAAATGTGCAGTTATAGCCAAAAATGCTTTTATTGAAACCAATGTCCAAATATCAAATGTAAATGAAATTTGACTTTCTGTTTCTTGTAATATTTTTAGAATTTTTTCTTGATCATTTAAATAAAAATCTATTATACTTGTCTTTATAAAAGTAGCTGAATGTATTTTTGCATTTGATGCAAGTGTTTGCAGGAATTTGAGAAAAGTTGATTCTTGAATGATCGTAAATGGCTACTGGTTTATAATGACCCAATGAATAAGTTTTTTTTCATTTTTACAGAATTGTATATCTACTAGATATAAATAAAACTTAGTAATATTTTTTACAATTTTGAAATATTTCAAAAATTATCTTTGCTTTAAAAAAACTTACTATACTGGAATTGTTGGTCATTAGATTTAATTTTACTGGATAGGTTTTTTCAAGATGTTTTATAAGATTAAAAGTACTGCTTCCATTACAGATATATGTTGTTCTATAATATTTACAAATAGTCTTTTTGTTGTTTTTAAAATCTGAACTTTTTATAAATGTTCCCATGCTTTGCTCCTAGAAATTGCCAAAGTAATTGAAGCGGATTCTAATAAATTGCTTGTATTCACATTGCTGTTATCGTTATTATTATTATTATAGCTTATTAAACTATCACTTTTTTTGTTTAAGTATTACTTATTGTTGGATGAGTTTCTATGTTTCATTTTTAAAAAATATTTGAATTGTCAAAAAACAAGCTGAATTAATTAAAACAGTTAAATATAAAGTCATAATATTTAAAAAAATTTTAAAAAAATTTTGCTGGTATATAAAACTCACCAAAATTTAAAAAAATTTTTTTTAAAGTTATTGAAAATTTTTAGAAAGGATAGAACAAACAGGTATTAGATTTTTTTTAACATAACCTTTTATATATTATTTAAAAAAGCAAGTTTCATTTTGATTTCCTAGTTAGTTTTATTTAAATAAAATTAAATAATTATTTAATAATTTATATAGACTAAGTTATATCAAATCTGAATCTGATTTGTATCCAACCAGATTTAAAAATTTAAAATTCGATTTGATCCAAATCTGATCAGTTTAAAAATTTTAAAATTCGAATTGATTTGATTCATATATGATTCACAGATTATTCAGATTCAGATAAAAACTGTGATCCCTACAAGTCACTAATATATTTAACAGTTTTATTTTATTGAAAAAATTAAGAGAAAATGAAAGAATATATTAAAAGTAATATTTTTAATATGATGAATAAAGTTATATGACACTTGCTTACTTCATTGAAGATAAATTACTTTACTATCACCTGCAGATAAGCTAACTATTTAATTTTTTACCTGTCTAAATAATACTTAAAAATGTTTAAGGTAGACTTATAACTAGTTCTTATTGCCTGAATAGCAAATTATATAACTTTGCACAGAGCAGACCTTATTGCCAAATGCTTTTTCAAGATAAGTATCACTAGATTGGTTTATTACTAGATTGAAATGAAACTAGAGTAGAAATCTATAAAAAGATATTAGATATTAAAAAAGTGATTATTGAATCTGCTTGTCGAAAATGGATACCTTATATACTTTGTAACTTCTAGTGATCATTGTAATACCAACTGGATTATTGTTATACCATAACATCTTTTCTGGAAATCACAATCTCAACATCCACTGGATCAGCATATGAAATGACTTTTCATAAGAAACAGCACTTTTACAGATTATAATGCCAGATATATTAATTCTATTTAATTATCCTTATATGAGGTTGAACTGTTATCTTGTGAGAAAGGTTATTTATCATATAAAAAATAAATATTGCTTATTTTAATTAGAATGAAAGATAAAGGCATGCCCATATTTGTATACAATATTAATGAGATATTAAACAAATCCTTAGAATGAATAATAAGAAGTAACAAATTTAGTCTAGAGAGTTTATTTAGATTGCTGATATATAAAAGATTCAATAGCAGAAAAATCAATATAATAATTAATCTTATGTTAGGAATTAAAACTTTTTCCCATTTATCTAAGCGAATTGTCTTTCTTTTTTGTGATGGTTCTAACTGAAAGGTAAGCAAAATTATTAAATTTTCAACAAGAAATGTAGGCTTAAAAGCAAACAATGCAATACCGAGTTCCAAATATCTTTTAGGATGCGCTTTTCGGATTTTGATAACTTATTAACGGGATTCGTAACATTTCGTTCCGAGAGATTAATGATTCGATAGTCAAATAGACGATATTCTATACCTTTCATTTTTTCGATTATTTTACGGATTTCCTCTAGTACAATCTGTGAATTCTATGAAGATAGAATATAGTTAGAAAATCTGATGAGGGTACATTGTAATATTAAATCTGCGCAAATACCTCTTGAGATAATTGTAAATACGTATTTTCAATAACTTCGTAATTTTGCATTTGTCCTATTATCTGTGAGAAAACTTCTTCGCGATCGAAATTGGAACAAATGGAATCCAAATTCGAAAACTCTTGCTGAGAGGGTATGGAGGCACCTGATGAGGAACCACACGGAAAAATTCGATGTGGAGGAGTATGCGGTGGCTCACATGGAGAAAGAGTGCCTAGGAAGTGTTCGTCTATTCTTGTACGTTTGTTTAAGAGGGCTTGCTTGGTCTGTTCATCCTAAAGTGTTAAGTCCCGCTGATCCTCAACTAGATAAAAAATGCCTATATACTATACCTCTGTCTTTTGGGTATTGACGATCCAGAAATGAAAGTACCATTCTTATTAATATTTATAAACTATTATAGATTAAAAAAATGCCTAACCTACCCCTTCATGACTTCTTTTGGATTCCAAACGAGAGTTCCGCCACCGATGGTTTCAGCAGTTATATTTCCCATATTCCCACTGATATCCGTAGTAATTTTTGGTCGATGAATATGTACTTGCTTGCGTGAATGCTCCTTCTCCCAATTTTTTGCCTTTTTGCTATCAGGTCGAGAACCCTAAGACAAAAGACTTTAGAAAACTGGTAATATCCATAACTATTCTCATTTTTCTTCGTAACAACAGACAAGCTCGAAGGTCATCTGTGTCTGAAAGTGCCAGTAGGCTCGGAGACTTTTAAACATCAGGCAAGCTCGGAGGTCACCTGTGTCCCAACACTTTCTTTGTGGCTCGGCTCAGAGACTTGAATGATAGAGATCTCGGAGATCTCTACCACGCCACTTATTCGTTAAAAAATCATTAAAAAAAACTCAAACTTGCCTGCTTATATTTGTCAATCAATCTCTGCGCATTCTCGCCCCTTTGATCTCTCTCCATTTTAACAATTGTTTCGAGTGATAAAAGGTATTCTTCAATCTTTCTTCTATAAGGTTCCCAGTCGCACTCTTCAAGGAAATCAATAATATTCCAATCGGAACTTTTTCGACTAAAATATTTAGGTACCCGTTTTAAAGATATGTAAAGCACACAAGGTTTTTAAGTCGTTCATTTGATCATTTTGAATAGACGCGAATGTGGCTTAGACATTACCAGCAGAGATTTTTTTCCCAAAATAAAAGACATGGGGGTGTTTCGTACATATTTGCACAGTGTACATGCATTATTTTCGAACTAAAACGTAAGTTAATTGGTTGCATGTGACTATATTACAGATCGTCACGTAGTGAAAAATTCGCGAAATTACGCGAAATTTGTAAAAATCGCCGGTCCATCTATAACGTAACTTAAATTTTATATAGTTAAATAGCAAGTATTTATAAATAAATTTTTAAATTTTAATATATTTTTATTAAAAATTGAATGTTTTATTAATACAAAAAAAAAGTATCCAACTATTTTTTTTATTTAAATAATTTTTTTTTTTAAAATATAAAATTAACAAATTAGTCAAAATACTATATAAATAATAATTATAAATAATAAATTATCAATAAATAATAACTATAAATAATAAATTATTAATAAATTATTTTTTATTAATTGGATTAGTAAGATATGAATTTCTTT